CTCGGCCCGGATCTGGCCCCGCAGGCGAGCCAGGCGGCCCGGGGCGCGGGCTTCTTCAGGGCCTGGCCCGTTGGGCTGCGGCCCGTTGTCCCGTCGGCGGCCAGCGGCCCGTCGCAGCGCCTCGCTCGCGCCGTACACACTGCGCGCCTGGGCCCACGGGCGCCCGGGTTCCACCGCCATCCGTGCCGCAGCCGCCACCGCCACCGGCGCTGGGCCTGGCCGGGAGCTCCAGCCCGCAGCCTAGCGACCGCTGGGGCCCCGGCGACGCTCCGTGGAGAGGGCCCCCGGGATGGCTGTGGGAATGACTGAAGTCTCGTGGGGGTGGGGGTGGGGGGCGAGCAATCTGGCCTGGGCTCGGGGAACTCCGACAGGGCGAGAGGGGGTGGTAGATGGAGCGCCAGGGAACGCGGGGGTTTGGGCAATGCAGGCAACCTTGAGTGTGCTAGACCTGCCCAGGGGGACTGTGCTGTCGGTGGGTCCCAGCGTGGGTCGAGGAGCTTGGACCGGCTTTTGAGCAGGAGGTGACAGGACGTGGAATGAAGGCTGCAGAAGCCTAGGCGCCCAGACCAGAGTCAGGAAACAGGCTCACACCATATACTCCAAACTACTGTCCTGATCACAGTCAGGGGAAGGCAAGTGTGGTTATGGACCCACCTGTCCCCAGTCCTCCTCTCTGGCTAGGGCCACCACCTCCATACTATAGTTCAGGCCCCCCACCCCCACCCCCCACAGCTGCAGGAATCCATCCTCCTCACAGGTACCTCCATTCAAGCCCTTCCTGGTCTGGGTATCTCCCTGCTGAGCCCCAGTCCTCAGGAAGCCACTGGATGACCTGGCCCACCCCACACTATTCTGGCCATGTCTTCTTTTACCTGCTCTAATCCAACAACCTCCACCCCTCTGGGCCTTTGCTCAGGCCGTTTCTCTGCTGGGAATGCCCCCCGCCACACACACACACACACACACACACACACACACACACACACCATATACCTGGCAGCTTCCACTCATCCCACTTCTGCAGGGCAGCCTTCTTTGGCCACCCCAGCTTCCAGCAGGTGACTCAGGCCCCACACCCACAGCCTGTTTAAATGGCTTTCTGTTCTCTGTCCACCTGGATTCACAGTAGGGGCCCTGAGCACAGGATGACTAGGTCACTTAGTTCCCAGAGATACTAAACATGCCAGATGTTGGATGCAGGAGTAAATGAGTGAATGAGTCTGGGGCTGAGCATCCTGGGTGGGGCAGGGCCGTTACCACCCACCCTAGTCAGCCAACGCACCTCCTCAGGCCTGGCATTCAAGACCCTCATGGTCACCTGTGCTGGCTTTTCTGTCCCTGCCACCTTTTCCATTGTGTGGGAGCTCCTCACTACTGCACTCCAGTCTTTCTCACCCTGGTGCCTTCACACATGCTGCCTGTGTCCATCTCAGGGTCATGGGCAGTGCACTGTGGGCCCCTCTGGAGGGCAGTATCCCTCTACCCTGCATGTTGTTCTCACTGAACCCTAGGGGCTAGTTAGGACTCCGGGTGCCCTGGGAGCCTCCCCAGTGAATTGTGGGGAGGGAGGGTCTGGCGTGGGTCCTGGCTGGGCTGGGAGGGAGATGGCAAGGCAGCCACTGGGACCTGTGTCCCTAGATCCCACAGGGGCCTAGCCTCTATGCAGCTCTGTGCCTGTGTGTGTGTGTGTGTGTGTGTGATTGAGGATGCTGCCAACCCTGTTCTTTGGCAGTCCTGGCCCTGGCCACCATGAATGCTCCTAGATCCCCTCTATTCATTAATTCATTCATTCATTCGTTTGTTGATTGCAGCCTGTCTCTCTGGAAGGTACAAGGAGAGGTGAGAATTTGGCACTCTGTCAACCCCAGACAACCACCCCCCCATTCCTGCTGAGTCACCGGGCCCCCTGGGACCTCTAGCATCTGTTTCTGGTCCCTAGAGCCTCGTTAACGGTACTCTTGCCCTCCTCCCCTTAGTAATTAAAATACTGCAGGCCAAAATACCCTGGATTCCTTCCCCAGGCCTGCTAGAGTCAAGCTGTGTGACCCAGGGGCTCTGCCTTCTCTGAGCCTCACCTATGAAATGAAGGAGACCCCTAAGGTCCCTGGGAGGGGACAGCAGGAGGGCTGGAAAAGGCTGGGGAGAGCAGAGGTAGACAGACTTCAGATTGGTGATGTGGTATGAGAGCCAGGAAGGGCAGAGCTGGGCTGCCTGGGCGGGCAGGGCTGGGCTGCCTGGGGAGACAGGGGCTATGAGGTTTTCCCTGACTGTTGAGGCTGATGGAGAGATGTGATATGAACAAAGCCTTTGCTGCGGCGAGGAGTTCACGATCCTACAGGTGCTGCAGGATGAGGTCATGGCTGGTGGTAGAGTCCCAGAGTCAGGTTGTGAAGCATGACAGATTGCACAGGAGCAAGTGTAGAGTGGGAAGGGAGGCCCCAGGGACCCCGACGAGCCCTGAGGAGGGCTGCAGAGGTATTGGTGAGGAGTGAACAGGCAGCTGTGGTCAACATGACCCTGAAGCCCCTGAGGTCAAATCCAGCAATGGTCAAGAAATAGGTTGTGGTGGGCGCCTGGGGGGCTCAGTCGGTTAAGCGGCCGACTTCGGCTCAGGTCATGATCTCGCGGTCCATGAGTTCGAGCCCCACGTCGGGCTCTGTGCTGACAGCTCAGAGCCTGGAGCCTGTTTCAGATTCTGTGTCTCCATCTCTCTGACCCTCCCCCACTCATGCTCTGTCTGTCTCTGTTCAAAAATAAATAAACGTTAGGGGCGCCTGGGTGGCGCAGTCGGTTAAGCGTCCGACTTCAACCAGGTCATGATCTCGCGGTCCGTGAGTTCGAGCCCCGCGTCGGGCTCTGGGCTGGTGGCTCAGAGCCTGGAGCCTGTTTCCGATTCTGTGTCTCCCTCTCTCTCTGCCCCTCCCCCGTTCATGCTCTGTCTCTCTCTGTCCCAAAAATAAATAAAACGTTGAAAAAAAAATTCAAAAATAAATAAACGTTAAAAAAAAAAAAAAAAAAAAAGAAAAGAAATAGGTTGTGGAGACCCCAGCCCGAGCTTCATGGGTGGAGGGGCCAGCAGAAGCTGAAGATTAGAGGTGGGGGAATAGGTTGGAGAGCCCTTGCCCCAGGCTGGTTGGTCAGAACAGAGGTAGCTTCAG